GCGATTGCGGTAGACCTCCACAGAGCGGTTGCTGTTCCCCGGGTGTTTGATGGGCTCGTGGTGAGGGGAGATCCACATGTAGGTGGTAGCTGCAGCTGGCAGGCTGGTGTTGCAGGCGAGCAGGAGGGTCTGGCCCACCATCACGGGGAAGGGCACAGGGTGCATGTCTTCGGGGCCTGCTGAGCAATTCTCGAACATGTGGCTGTATTTGAGGAACTTGATCAGGGACCGGGGCACGTTGTCAGACACCTTGCAGGTGTGTTCCTCGAAGAAATCCTTCACGGAGCTGAAACCTCGCTGCTTCCAGTGCTGGAGCATGAGGTAGAGTGGGCAGCTGCACCTGATAGGGTTGTTGTGCAGGTACAAGCCATTCCTGATGTTTTCGGGCAGAGCTGCCAGTTCCTCCACAGGGATGCTGCTCAGGCTGTTGGAGGAGAGGTCCAGCGTGCGGAGGCTGTAGTTGCCCAGCCCTTGCACTGAGCGGAAGGGGAAGGTGGTCAGGTTGTTCCAGCTCAGGTAGACTTTCCGCAGGCTGCTCAGCTTGGTGAAGGCATTTTCATCCACTCGTGTAATGCGGTTGTTGTAGAGCAGAAGCTCCTCCAAGCTCACAAGAGCGTCGAAGTAGTGTGTCTCAACGGCATGCAGGTGGTTGGAGGACATGTCGAGGTGCCGCAGGTAGGAGGCATTGTGGAAAGCCTGCGGAGAAAGGTCCTTAATCTGGTTGTGGCTGATGTGGAGGGCCTCAAGGTGTGGGAGGGCGGCCAACCAGCAGTCGTGGAGCTGGGTGAGGGCGTTGTGGCTGAGGTCCAGCGTGGTGGCGGTGGGCGGCAGTGCCTGGGGCACGTGCTGCAGTGTCTGCCGGCTGCAGCTCAGCAGGTCAGAGGTGCAGATGCAGGCAGTGGGGCAGCTGCGGGGCAGTGGGGAAGCACGGGGAGCGTGGCCATGGGTGCACAGCTGGAGCAGCAGCAGCAGCTTCACTGCCCACGGCCAGAGCGAGTCTGCGGGCCCCCACGGGGAGATTGTGCTGGGCAGGAGCCTCTGTGCAGCCCAGCAGCACAGCCAGGCTTGATGAGATGGGGGCCTCTACCAAGCATCCATGGATGTCCCTTTGCACCTTGCAAAGGAGGATCCCAATGCCAGCTGTAGGACTTGAAAAGAGTTAAAGGGCGGCATCGCCCTGCCCAGCTCTACCGCGTACCTGTGCTCCGGCGGGCCGTGGGCTGCCCAGCACCCGGGTGCAGGGGGGGGCAGTGGGGGCTGGCGTCCAGCATCAGGGGGCTGAGATGCTCCAGCGTTTCAGGGCTGTGTTTCGGGCTCGGCGAACGCCTCGCTGCCTCCCGGAGCCGCACGTCCCTGGAGCACGAAGTTTCTCACAGCTCAGCGCCTCCGTGGAACATCCCCATGCTCCGGCCCCTGGTGACCCCCGTCCAGCATCCGGCTCCCTCCTGGCCAGCATCTCCCGGGGAGCCAGGCTCGCTGCGGGAACGCGGTCCCGCTCCTGCCCCTATTTACGCGCTGGCGGTGCGCGACGTGTGGGCCGGGCGGGATCCCATTGGTCCTGGCGCGGGGAGTGGTGGCCGCGGTGGTGGCCGTGGCTGTGGCCCTCCTTTGCTGTCCTGCGAGTGGGCAGGGCGATGTGCAGCCAGCACCAGCCCTGCATGGTCACTTCTTCCCAGGGGTGCTCAGGGCCAGTTCGCCGACCCTCTGGCCTTACAGCAGACGCTGTC